AACATATTGTATCCAAAACATCTTTTCCGGCGCCATATTTGGTGTTTGGCCCCCCTGGTACTGGGAAAACTATGACTATGGTAGAAGCAATATTTCAGGTATTGTATATTATTTAAATTTTATGTTTTATAATTATTAAGGCTGCTGCGAGAGTAAAGAATGTATTTTGAAAACCAAGAACAATATGGTCATATATGAGATGCGAAACAATATTAAGATAAACAAGTTGAAAAACATATCTTGTTAAGACCGCTTACTCAAGATCTTGAATACTCATTTCTTGTTCTTGAATTAGAGTCAATAGTCTATGAAAAAACAAAGCAAACCTGTGATGGTGCAATTAAAATGGAATTAAAAATAAATATACGTATTTTTCAAAAGTAGAAAAACTTTAGGTTGTACAAGTTTATTCGTTAAGAAAGAAATTCAGCATAATAACGATGGAATGAATTCTGTTTTTTACAGTTATTACATTAAATATTCACATTAGTTTTAGTAATTAAAGTATTGACGTTTGTAATGGGTCTTTTTGCGAATTCCTTACTTATTTGTCGGAACATATATTAGTCATTTTTAGCCGTTATGGTTTTTATCTTTTTTGGTTTTTTAGTCTTTGACTTTGGTATTGAACGTATTTATGCTTTCTGACAATCGAAGACGATTATAAAAATTGAAACGAGAAATAGGTATAACAAAGAAAGGTATGAAACAATGGAGATATGTGAAAAGTTTGAAGGTGTTGTTGTCGGAGCATTGACGGATGACTGGGTGACAGAATATGTGAAGGAGATGAAAGATATTGATGTAATAGTAAGATTTAGAGTGGGAAATGATAAAATAAAGGGTGTAAATATTAGATAAAGAAAAAAAGGGTATGCAGAGAAAGAATGAAACATTTATATATACAGGATGTTCCAAGCACGCGGATTTTTTCAATAATTGCTTTATAGTTGAATTTTCTTACAAAACTTACCATACAAGTATATTTATATCCTAAAATTATTTTCGATTATACAGAGTATTCCATTTTTCATAAGAGCAACCTAACTTCATTTTTCAAATGAAATGCCCCATTTGTTAATGTATTTTCAAATTCCTCGTGAAATTTAAATACCACTTTGTTAATCATACATTATGTCTGAAATGCACCAATTTCCATAAAATTCGCGCTAAATCAATAAATAGACTGTTGCATTGCTCTGCGCCATTTTAAATATCTCCGAAACGAAAGCACACAGAAGTGTGCTATTTTCACATATAGCTTTAGGAAGAAATGGCCTACCATTTCCATTATTAACCCAAACATATTGTTTTTAAATTCAGTGAAATTTACCACTTCCGAAATAAGTTGTTTCGAACTGACATAACTATTTTTTTTTAATGGAATGCCATATTTTTTGTTAGCTCATCATGTGCAAATTTCATTTCCTTTTGTCCAATATAAGGTTGTTACTATCTACGGCTAACACATTTTGAGAAATTTTAACTTTTCTAATAATGTTAGTTGATATCAGAATATCAATTATGCCTTGGTCGGCGATTCGCTTTAATCTACCATTGTTTTCTACAAGCGTCAATTCTGTGAGTTTAATTGGGTGCCGAGTAACGTTTCGTTTTCTACACTGTTGATTTCTGAACTACCTAGCCATTGCTTTGAGCCAAAATGAAAAAATAGATATACTTTTTGTCCTTGGAGAATGTGACTGGAATCCTTTCCTGACATCGAGAGTGTATGCTCAGCGATATTCAAACAGGCGTAATCCTCGAGAAGATGCGTACCGCAGGGTGTTACAGCGGTTTGTTACAAGCGGAACAGTGAAATCCACACCTAGAAACTACCTAAACTGTCCATACAGAAGAAAAAGAATTTCGCGTTTCGGCATCTGTGGAGGAAAATCCACCTCAGTATAAGAGATATAACCCGAGAGGCACAAACCAGTAGAATGTCTGTACAAAGGATACTTAAACTAAAGTACCATCCGTACCACATAGAACTGCATCAGGAACTTCTCCCAAGAGATTTTGTGCCAAGAGTTGAATATTGTGAAGGGGTTGTAAATAAGTTAACTAAGGATGAAGTTTTCTTCAAGTATGTTCGGTTCACCGATGAGTCCACCTTCCATAAAAAAGGTAATTTTCGCTTGGACATCTTAGATGAGGTATTCCATTACTAATAACGAGGTGATTGCTGAACCGTGGTGAATTCCTACGTCAACCTAGAGTTCTTCACTCAGACCTGGAGGATTTCTGACCGTACTACAGATATTATTATATATTTCCTTAATAAGTTTTATATAATGAAGGGTAGTTGTTGAGCTCTCATAGCTTGCCACACTAATCTTCTTGGTACTAAGTCAAACGCTTTTTCTAAGTCAATAAAAAAGAAATTTAGGCCCTCTTTGTGCAGACGACATATTTCTATTATTAATCTTACTGCCTGTATTATGTCTGTGGTGGATTTTGATGGAGCGAAGCCAAATTAAATTGGAGTGATTGTTGTATGGTCCTGGATGCGTTTATTTCTTATACGTTCCCAAAGTCTTAGGGTATGGAAGGTTAACTTGAAGTCCTTATATGTACCACATTGTGTAATATCACCTTTATTTTAATAAAAAGGTTTGCCATGATAAATTTTCTTCTCAATTTCATATTAAAAAGTCTTGTGAGTCACTGTATTGCTACCGGTTCTAATGAGGACCTACAGCTTTACAGTTCTTTATTCCTTTGACGGTTTGCTTTACTTCATCCCTACTAACTTTCTGGATTGGACTTTCAATTGGTGGTAAAGGTTTGATACTGTTACTTGAGTATTCTTCGTTCCGAAGTTGTTTATGATATTCGTACCACCTTCGATTAATATCTATTTGATTTGAGTAGGGTCTGTCCTTTACTATTGAAGAACTTGTTTGTTTTGATATCTAGAGTTGATTTGTTTCTAGATTTAACTATTCTTAATATTTCTGCATCCGTTCTGGCATTTTCTAGGTCGATGGAATTTTTTTCTCGTCATTTAGCTATGGATTGTACTACACATATTTTAGCTACCTTTTGGTTTTCTTTGTTTTTATCTAAGTTCCTGTCTTTTTTTGTGGAACTGCCCAACTGTCCTATACAGAGTGTTTCTGAAATAAGTAGCAAGCCTGCAAGAGGTGATAGGGCACTACACATTTTTGTACTCATGTATTGTTTGTTATTTGTTAGATTAGATTAAGTATAATTAGGATGTTAATGTTTACAGCCAGCCTAGAAGTCAAAGTCATTAGATGTAGGTCAATGTGTCAGTGTCATAGGCTAGTGCAAAATAGTATTATTGCATCGACCAATGCGTGAATTGCTAGACGGAACATTTTCCTAGACGAAGGGTCCTGTACCCTGGCCGGCGCGTAGTCCTGATCTAAATTCGTTTGACGTCTTTGTATGGTATTGTGTAAAACAATGTGTATGAAACTCCAGTGCAAAACACTAATGATTTGCAGGGTCGTGTATGATCGCTGAAAATGAATACGGATAGGACCATTGACGAACCAAGCATAAAAAAGGTAGGTAACACATTTTAGCAATACCTCAATGGTGGTTAGGAAATTTAATAAAATTACTATTATATATCCAGGGGATTTTAGTATACCTGTTAATGTTTACGTAACGTTAATCTTTTATTTCTTTTGTGTTCTCAATACCGTGTCGATTGTGTACTTCAAATGCTATACTATTAGCGATGAACCAAATAATTATTTAATTAATCTAAAGATTATTATGTGTAGTAATGTAGTAGTAAGCTGCTGATATTTACTTTATTAGTCGTTCCACAACCATTTCTATTTGCATTTTTCGTCAATGTAGTTGCTTAATTGTTATCGCAATTTTTTTTATATGCTGCCAGTTTAAGACCAAGACTGACTTCGAATTGCAACTTCATCTAGTTTTCTCCCAAAGTTTTTTGTCCCTTAACCACGGTGCCTTATTCACCACGCTATTACTTGTAGTTAACACCCTCCAACGCGTGCTATTTATTTCAGAAACACCAACATAATGTTAACAAGGATTCTATCAGTATGTGGACACAGTTTTGTTTTATTTTTTTTTTTTGTAACTATTTACTAAGTGATTGCTCAAAACGTATTTTAAGTTTGTATTAGAGTTATTGTGTTTACTTAGGGCTATTTCCGTATTTATTCCTAATAATTCGAAATTTTTGGAAGTATTAAGACTGTATGCCTTTATTTACAAAATCTAGCTCGTTACTAGTAAAAGAGACATTAGTTAAATTAACAGTTCTATCATAAAATTCAAAAGCAGAAAAGGTTTTAATACGTAAAGTACTTTTTACTGAATTTAATAGCGAAGAAAATACGTCCAAGTTATTTGCGAGTACAATTTTGCGCACATTCGTTTGAAATTGTTAAGTCGGCTCTCAATTTTTTTCACTATTTAAATTACTCTTTCGGCCATTTTTATAGTGCTAATAGCGAATTTCAATATTGTATACTACTTATAGGTACTTTAACTGCTTAGTGAACATTTTCAGAGAAAAGTTGTTTATGTATAATAATTACAGTGTAAAACACAATAATTTGCATACTAATCGCCATATCGTAAAATTACGTAGAGACTTTAAAGAAAAACACAAATACCAACTTTTTTCGGTATGCGAATTCCCAATGCCCACGTTTACTAATTGTTATTGGTAAGACAAAGCATGTACCAAACTTCACTGGCAAAAGTCCAAAAAAATCTTTCATTTTGTATCAATCCTTATATATACTAGCTTATTTGATAAATCCTAAGATTTACAAGTAAAACGTATGGTTTATTAGTAATATTCGAGATTCTACGGTAACATACTTGTTAACTTTAAGTAGAATATTAGTTTATTTCATGCCTTAATCTAATTGAAACCGTAATCGTAAGTACTTAAACTACGCTAATTAATGGTATATTGGGTTTATAATAAGCTGCTGGGACGTATACCTGCCGGTTTTAGCTGTACGTAATTCCTTGCTTTCAAACCAAGATATTGTAACAAGCACGAGTGTGCGTGAACGGCTTATCGATTCTCCGACCAGCCCCGGCCGCCTTTCTTCATGTGCGCCGTATTTATAAATGTTTGTGTCGTATCTGCGTTCTGGGAAAGCTGTTAAACAGTTTAAAGAAAAACAAAACGATCCGGATGTTTCTAGAGGGTTCCAGAAAGGAAACAAAAAAGTATTTAAAGGAAGAGACGATCGTCGAGAGAGTAGAAATAAATTGACCGTTGCAGAAGTGAATCGAGAAATAAATTGACAGTGATAGCAGCGAAATAAATAGCGCAGTGAATAGTGATATATCAATAGTAGTGTAAATAAATAGAATAATCCATAACCTAAGTAGTAATAATTTAATAGTGTTTTTAAGTTAGTGTAAATAAATAGTTTTGTCGTTATCAGTCTTATAAGTTAATTTTGTTAAACCCACGAACATTACAATATTATCCCATCTGCTTGTTGTTATACTTCATTTACTTTATCTAGCGATGTTCCCCTTCCAATGTCTTCGATGCGCGCTGGTAACGTAAGTAGGGAGAAAAAAAATCATTTTACTCTCGACGCTTGTTCATTAAACATACTTTTTCATACAGTACCTGCCAAAAGTTTTGTTCAAATATGAATAGTAGTGCGAGTCGAAAACAAGCGTTGAAGCCTTTAATATGTCTTCAGATATAAATAAACATCGTTGATATTTTCAGTAGTAATTGGTACCAATAACAGCACATTTAAGCAATGCAGTTTTAGTGGATAAAATGGACAATTTTTCCGTGCAGTATTGTACGAATTATACGCTCTTCACCGGTTAAGAGTTTGGTTGAGAGTTGTCTCCTTTTTTTGGCCTAGTGCTGTTCTTTTCTACTTTGCGCCGGTCAAACTAAAGGTTACATCGCTAAATGAAGTATAACTTAATACACCATAAATTAGCACAATTTGCTTAGGTCTATAGAAATAATGTATTTCAATTAAATGAAGATTTATAAAACGAAATAGAATTCTCAGGTCGCGCAGCAATCGAAATTTAGTTAACATTTTTCTCAGTATATTTTCTTTGGGCTAAACATGAGACGGGAATGATTCTATTAAGAGCTACATTTAGTTACAGATTTTTATTTATTCCCCGTGCCCTTCGTTTTGACGACTTTAGAACAAAAAAAAAAAGAACGCGAGAAGTCTGCTAAATTAACAGCGATAAGAATAATACTTTATGATTTTGTAAAGAATTTCACTTGAGTAGTTATAGTTTGGAAGAGTTTGTAACAGTTGACGAAATGTGCTCTGTAAGGTACTAGAACATATTACAAATGGAAGTTTGATGTATATTGTGGAATACAACAAGAGGGATCCTACAAAACATCTAACAAACCATTTTACATCATGCAGAGACTAATAGAGACACTAAAAAGCACCAAAAGATATACAGCGTCTTTCCGTTCATTAAAAGTTTTGAACTTGAAAATACCACTGGAGATTTAAAAAGCGGTAAATAACCTAAAAGCTGACGCTCTTTCTAATTAATTTGTAATCGTCGGTCACTTCTGGTTATACCGGAAGTCGACATCAACTACCTCATTTTAAATGGACTGCTATATTTTTTATAACATTTTAAGCTTCACAGAACTCTTTCAGGTCGACTTTGATTGTACAACTCGATGTGAAAAATTAGTAGTTTTAGAGGTATTTTGATTTTTCTGAAAATTTTAAAAATTGGATTCCCATACTACCTAACGGATTATTCTGCTAATTTTAAAACTGACATAAGTATATTAATCAACTATCTTTTACCTATCTCCACCTAGCGTAATGCTCTTAGTATTGTAAAAGTATGCTGGGTCTTGAAAATATAACGTCCAACCTATAAAACTTCGAACACACTTAAGTTGTTTTCTTTTTCCAAACAGAACACCCTCTATATTATCTCATCAAAGAACGTATAATTGAATTCTGCGCCAGTTGATATAAGGATTCCCTAAACCTATCTGCAATAGTTTTTGAGTTGTAAGAAATATTTGAAAGAAGCCCACATTATTACGTTTTTAAATACTTTATCACAATAGGCAAACATTGTTGTGCATTATGCGCCTCGTAAGATGTTTTATATACGCACACACACGCAATGGACGGGGCAGGTGCACACAACAATAATGACGTAGTTGTTGAACTAACTAGCATGTTCTAAGATCGTTGAAATGACGACTAATCCTCTCTATCCTCTTTACAACTTTCTGACAATTTCGATGAATGCAAAATAAATTTAAATATTATTGGCAGAATTGTTTTTTTTTTCGTTCTACATTTTGAAATCTCAAGGAGTAATAATGTAGGCTTTCTTCAAAAATTTCTTAGAACAAAAACTATTACCAATAGTCGACCTAGATTTCGATTCAACATTCACTAATGAAATAATATACAGGGCGTTCTATTTGAAAAAACAACATAAGTGAGGTCGAAGTTTTATAAATTGGATGGTAAATCTTCAACACCCTGTATACATTTAAGACAGTAACGGTACAATTCCAGATGGAGATGGGTACGAGATAGCTGTTCACCCAATTTGGCCACGGCACAGACAATGTTGCATTAAAATTGAGAACAAATTTTGTCAGAAAATTTGTTTTTGTCATGTTACCGCAGAAAGATCGTTTCGCGTGCTACGAAGTAGGAAAGATATGGCCGTTTTTCAATCGGGAGACAATTAAATGAGTCACTTAGCGCATGCGCTGAAGATTATGGACATGTGCAGAAATCAGTTAATGGGGAAAAATTTGTTGCTTAACTTGAGGTAATTTATAGTTGGTATAATTGGAAAGTGAATTTTCACATTAATATTTGATATATTGATGAATATGATGAAAAATCAAAGTGTTTTTTATATATAGTATTAATATAATTACATTAGTTCGACGGGTTGGTGACGTTTGAGTACAGTTTGTCGTTGTTGATCTCATCATTCGTAGCTTAGTGTTCTTAGCCTTGGCGCTTAAAACTAATGGTCCCGGGTTCGATTACCGGCGAGGGTGTGACAACAGCAACAATTTTTTCCTAATTAACTTAGTTGGCATAAATGAAAAATAAATTTTCACATTAATACTTGCCTTATTTTTTCTATTTTTGACTACTCTGTATAGTAAATGAAATCTGAATAATACAGACGATCTTGATTAAAATAGGAAGTATAGTTTTGTTTCAAAAATTTTTAAAGATGAGAAGTCTGTGCAATATGTGAAAGATGTCTTAACGCAGCAAATAAAGAAAGATTTGCTTGTATTTCTTTTTTAAATTTTCGATATATTCCTCATTTCGTGAGTTTTGAAACTTGTAGGTAATCTTTGAATTGCTCTTAAATTTTTTTTTAAATATACTTAACTTATATTTTATATTCAACAAATATTACTAGTGTAAGATAAGATTCACACATTATTTTATTTTCTATAAATTAAATATAATTTTCCGATTAACTCTGAATTAATTTTATTGGCGGCATAGACCATTAATGATAAAGTTAGACGGAGTATACATTCAAATATTTCAAGGGGGCTGCAATTATACTATGTTAAATATATTCTGTTACAGGTTTATCATTCCGATTCAAAATGCAAGATTTTAATATGTGCCCCATCGAATAGTGCCGTCGATGAATTAACTAAGCGCTTAGTTAGAAGAGGCATCTCGAATTGTGAACTCTTTCGCTGGATATCATCTTCTTATTCAATCGAAGCGGTCCCAGTGGACATAATAAAATTTAGTAATATCGACTGTAAATTGGGACAGTATTTTCACCCTAGCATTAAGGAGATTTTGAAGTTCCGTATTGTAGCTACGACTATAGTTAGTGCGGCTAAGTTAGTTACATTTGCTGATTTCGTTGTCTTTGGTATAATTATTATTAAATATCGCAGATTATACAATGGTGGCACACCTACTGGACATTTTACGCACGTGTTTATAGACGAAAGTGGGCATGCTAAGGAATCAGAAACGCTTATTCCAATTGCTGGAATATTGACTTCTCCTGGAACATTACATGGTCAAATAGTTCTTGCTGGTGATCCCCAGCAACTCGGTCCTATAATTCACTCTGATCAAGCTATAACATACGGTTTTGGTATGTAGGTATGTAAGTTTGAACTTAAACAATTTCCTATATTAATACTTTATAGGAACATCGATGCTAGAGCGGTTTATGAAAACGGTATCTTTATATCAACGTGACGCCAACGGTCAGCATAATCCAAATATGTTCACAATGCTTTTGCAAAATTATCGGTCTCATCCTTATATCTTACATACTCCCAACAAACTATTTTATGGCAACGAATTAATACCTTGCGGATATAGCGAATCATATGTTGGGGAAGAGTGGCAGTTCTTAAAAAACAAAAAAATTCCAGTTTTGTTCCATGGTGTGATAGGGCAGGATAAGAAAGAAAATAATTCTCCAAGGTAAAGAATAACTTACTTTTTTCAGAGAGTGTGTTAAACAATATATTCCATTCTTTTCAGCTATTTTAATATGGATGAAGTTGCTGTCGTAATGAGTTATATAGATAAGTTGATAAAATTTGGTTTAAGAAATTGTCATATAAATGCGGAACAAATTGGGATAATTTCACCTTATACAAAACAGGTAATACATAGATACTCCCCTAATATATAGGGTATTCTGTTATCATCGAAAAAGCGCGCCGTAGAGAATGAAACTTTAGTAGATAAGTCCACAAAAGACTAAGGACGCTAGGTATTCTGATAATGGAGAACATCAGTCGGTATGTATATTTGCTGAAACTTTGACACAATGACACTTACAAGTCTAGAAAGACATCGTTTTCTGTTTTATTTAAATAGACGTAGTATTTTTGAAGTTACAAATTTTAGTAGCATCGTCAATTTCAAATTTCTCTCTTAGACGCCCACTGTTGTCACTTTACAACGCGGTGAAGTCACTGGTGCGACTGACCTCTGTGTAGGTATAAATAATTTCGCATTGTTTTGCCACACATTTATAACTAATGTGCTAAAGTTTTGTGATACTTTTAACACTTCTCAATATAACTACAATATTCATATTTACTAGGGTGTCAGATTTGCAACAATCAAGGACGAATAGTTTGTCAACAAAAAATAATTGAAGTGCCTAAAATGTATTTCTTAATCCTAAGTTTTCTGAGATTTCTTTTAACAGATGTCTAAATTTTTCTCGCGTGAAACTGTACAACTTAA